AACTCCAGTTCCAGGGGAATCTGAAGCCCTCTTCTGACCTTTGCAGCATTGCATGACATGGGTGCACTCACATACATGCAGGCAATACACTCATACCCATAAAAATAATAAAGAAAATATTTTTAAAAAAGAGCCTGACTCTCACTTCCCCATTTCCTGCTGGAGATACTGTTTCAATAAGAGAATAAATGGGCCCTCTGTTCTAGGACACAGTTCTGAGAGAACTCTGAAGGAACTGGTTCTCAGCAGTTCTGGTTGACTCTTGGCTTAAAATGGACACTAAGAGTCAGACTGTTTTTACTTACACACCACTGTATTTTGGCATCACAGCAAATGCCACAAAAGCACTAAAATATTAAGTTTATAGTTAGAATAATTTTCACAAAGTGGATGCCCACATAACTGACACTCAAATCAAGAATCAAAGTGCCCACCAATGCCAGTAACCCCTTCCTGCCCTTCTGGTTGTCATTCTCCTAGAAATAATTGGTGCCCTGGCTTCTAGCGCCATGAGTAAGTTTTACTTATTTGGGAACTAAGAAGCTCTTCAGCCTGTTTCACTGGGTCTCATGGCATCTGGTGACACAGCCCTGTTAGATCTGTGTAAATACTGTGGGGCAGTAGCAATGCGGAAGCCATTTTGAATGCAGTTCTTTGCTTGTATTTTTTAATGTTCCTGTGAAATAAGCTTTGTGTTTTTTCCCCTTCTCAACCTAAAAAGACTCTTTGCTCCCATTTGGCAAGGGCTTCAAATACATTTTCCGGCTAAAAGAAAGGAACACAGAATGTTGGGTAGAACAGAAGCTGGGAAGTGGCTTGTGTGGTTGAGAGGTCATGAGGGGCACCAGCAGTGAGATTTTACCCAGTGAAATGGCAGTGCATGCTGTGGGGCCGACTGTGAGACATATGCCTTCGTTTTGGCCTTTGTGCTTCTCGCTCAAGGCCAGATGATCCTGACTGTTGTCAGGTCCATGAAAGGACCTTGAGGAAACCAACTGAACAGGACTGACTAGACCCAGTGGATGAACTTGCACTTAGGGATGTCTGGGTACACTTGACTCCGTAGGCCTTAACATATATGACAGAATGCATGAAATCTGGTGGGGGCGGGGCATGGAGGCTCAGGTAGGGAAGGAGTCAAAAATGATTAAGATATTTTGTATTTTGTATGAAAGGCACAAATATTCAGTGAAAATATACATTAAAATGAACTATCAGGGCCGGAGAGGTGGTTTAGCAGTTAAGAACACCGGTTGTTCTTGCAGAGAACCCAGCACCCACATGGTGCTGACAACAGTCTGTATCTTCAGTTCCAGGGGTCTGACACCATCTTCTGACCTCTACAGGCAGTGCATGACAGGGGTGAACCTACCTACATGCAGGCAACATACTCATACATGTAAAATAAAAGATGAATAAAACATATGAACTACTGCACCTTGTGCACTCACTGGGCACTTTGGCTGTGTTAGGATGACCACAGTCTTACGAAAGGCAGTTCATCTGCTGCGGCAGCAGGGAACACAGACAAATCCTCCATTTTGAAACTCAAGTAATCATACTGACAGGAGCTCCAGAAAGAAGATTTTTTTGTTCATTAAGAAACAACAGGAGCTGGAGAGATGAGTACTGGCTGTTCTTCCAGAGGATCCCAGTTTGGGTCCCAGCACCCACACACTGGCTAACAACCATCCTAACTCCAGTTCCAGGGTATCTGACACCCTCTTCTGATCTCTGAGGGCATTGCACAACACAGGTGCACTTACATACATTCAGACAATACATTCATACACAAAAAAATAAGAGTAATAAAGATTTTAAAAAAGAAAGGAAGGAAGGAAAGAAAGAAAAAAGAAAGAAGGAAAGAAAGAAAGAAAGAAAGAAAGAGAAAGAAAGAAAGAAAGAAAGGCTGGGCATGGTGGTGCACACCTTTAATCCCAGTACTTGGGAGTCAGAGGCAGTAGAGCTCTGTGAGTTCAAAGCCATCCTAGTCTACATAGTGAGTTCCAGGCCAGCTGGACCTACAGGGAGTCCCCATCTGAAAAAGACAAAAGAAAAGAAACAACAAACCACCCAAGACTTAGAATTGGTGTTAGGCTTGACCCCAGCTCTGTTGCATAGAGACACAGCATCTAATCTGAGAGGTCTGGGATTTGTGATAAAACACCTCACTGTGCTATCATTGGTTTGGGGTAGGGAGCTTTATAGGCATTACAGTACTTTTGAAAGTGTTCAGCAGTTTCTATTTTACCCCCAAAGGCACAGGGTTATGGTACACTGTGGGCTTTAAATCTTAGACATGAATCTAAAATGAGAGTAAGTCATGCAGGATGTACCAATCTAGGCCTGCCTCAGGGGGCAGGGGCAGGAGGAAGTCTCTTCTGTCCATCACTGGCGTTATCTGAAGTTGAAAGTGCGAGTAGGCTTCAGTGACAGTAGAGGAAAAAGAGCATGATTTTGGTTTATATATGTTATACATGTGCAAGGACTTTGACTTAATATGTAGTTATTCGTAGTCACACATATAAATATGTAACTTATTTATAATTACACACATATTGTACGTGACACCAAGTCACATCTTCTTGACTATTTCCTATATTGTTTTGGTGCTGATAATGGAGCCCTGGGCGTCACACATGCTACATTCTGACTTCCACTGAGCAGTACCACCAAACTCAAGTTTTATGTTCTTACGTAACCATAGTTGATGTGCAAAAGTTTACGTTGAAAACAAGCTAGAAAACTCAGTGCTGTCCTTCTATCTGTGGCCCTCTTATGTAGACACCCCATCTGGAGATGAAGGCACCTGCGTGACACACTTCTAAGCTGTGTTCACGATCAGCTCAAATGAATCCAATGGCACAGTCACATGGGGCCTTGCTTGCTGTGTGCCTCAGCATCACTCTCTTCTGGAGTCTATTTCTACACTAGATGGGGTCCTGGCCAGTTGCTTACAGCACATCCAAGTGCCTGTGGTTGACAGAGAGCGCTGCGAACATTTACCGCTCATTCCATCATGGGGACCACAGGCAGGATGATCTATGCTGGCCTCTCAGAATCTGGAGAAAAGGACTTCTGACAGGTGAGAGGACTTTGAATTGGCACAGGAAGATGGACAGGTGTCACCCCTTGGGGAGTCTGTTCAGGCAGGAGGAAGCCTCTGTCAAGAGGCAGATAACTGAATCCTCACCACATCCCTGCACAAAGTCCAGGAAGCTGGCAGGAAGAGTCGGTTATTAACCAGAGAGGCTGGAAGCTGCTGAGAGCAGCTTGCTGGATGGGTAGCTAGAAGCCAGGAGGATGGAGGACAAGACAGCCTGTAACAGCCCGAGTGGTAACCAGGATGAGCAGCAGCCCTCCCAGCCTGAGCATGGGGAGGCATGCTCAGATACACACAAAGCTCTGGGTAGGTTCCAATCAGTGGACACCTAAAACTGTATTGTTTTGAGTTACTTCTATATACTCAGTTTCCATTACAGGTTAATCACTAAGAGGAAAAGGACTTTGAGAAAATGGTTTTAATATCCAGTGACGACGCAATCCAGAAGCCCAGAGCCACAAAGACCTGCCATCGGTCACCCCAAGAAACATGGCACCCTAAGGTCAGCCGAAGGGGATGAGACTCCTGGCTTTCTCCTCTGGGCCTTTTGTTCTGTGGAAGCTGGAGGATGGTGTTACCTGCTTTCAGTGGGGTCCCCCCAGCCAGTTTGCTTTCAGTGGGGTCTCCCCAGCCAGTTTCTCTTCATTGACAAATCAATGAGATTTGGAATCACCTAGTGTGGGAACAACTACAATATGAACATGCTGTGGACAAATGACTTTAACTAACCTCGCAACAAAAAAGTTAGTCTTAGGTTTTGAGATCATTTAACACTGTCTCAGCTTTCCTTATAATGCAAACAAGCTTGCTAGACCTTGGGCTCCTCTTGTAACCTAAACACACAGCTGTAATACCTCATGACCCTTCCTTGACCTTGGCCCAGAATGGTGTCTGTATATTGAAAACAAGCACTGCAAGAGCAGGCATTTAACATGAATTATCCCATTTGTGTAGCAAACAATAGATTGATAACATGTTTGTACTTGTGTATGCTGTTCTAGGTCAGCAGGGATCAGAAAGGGTAATCCTTGTCTGATGATGAGGGACTGATGTTACTCTCCTATTTCATGCTGGAATATGTTTCTCAATAAATAGAAGACAAGGCCTTTGTGAGAGCGCCATTCTGGGAGAAACCTGAAGTAACAGGTTCTCTGAGCAGTTTGGAGCCCAGTGTTGGTTAAAATGGATGCTAAAAGACAGGCTGTGGTTATTCAAGCAACCCCATAAATGTGGTAACAACCTAGGAGACACAACTCTGGGCGTGTCTCTGAGGGAGTTTCCAAAGAAATTCATTTATTGACTGATTGATGGACTGATTGATTGGTTTATTTTATAAATTTTTGTTGCATTTTTGTGTATTTCATATGTAAAACCATCTTTCTCCCCCTTCCCTTTCACACCTCTCATAGCACCCCCATAGGAATTCATACATCTGTCATTTGTTAAGGTCTATTGTATAAAGTCAGTGTCCCCAGATGTCCCTCTATGTGAGTTTGTCCACTGGGGTTTAGTCAGCCTAGCAGAGTCTCTCCCTTCAAGATCAGCTCTTCCTCACCCAGCAGTATTCAACTGCCTCTAAACAAATTTAACTGAGGAAAGACCCACCCAAAAGTGGGCGTTCCATTCCACAGCAGGGCTTCTGACCTGACTAGAAAGGGGGCGAGCCAGGTATATTTGTCTCTTTCTGTTTCTGCTTCCTGACTGCAGAGGCCTTGATCAAATGAGCTCTAATGTTTGTTTCTGTCATGAGACTGCTCTCTGCCCTCCTGGCATGGACACCCCCCACTCTCCCTCCACCGTGGCTTGCATGCCGTGTTGGACTGTGCCCTCAAACCACGAGCCAAAACAACCCTTTCTTCCCTCAAGTTGCTTTTTGTCAGATATTGTGTCACAGCAGTGAGCAGTTAGTATTCTCCCTCAACTAATCCTTTTGGGAAAACCTTCACAGACAGACCAAGATGTTTGCCTCACCAATCTCCCAGGTAATTCTAAATCTAGTCAAGCTGACAGTGAAATCTGTCACAAGAAGCATGTGGATACTAGATCTAGGTGGCAAGTCTTTCTATTTGGAAAGGAAGGTAGTTCCCTTCTTAGCTCTGAATATGCTAGTTGTAGTTAAACCCTCTCTCCTGGTACCCACCATTGATTAGGCTTTGCTTGAATGTTGCATATCTTAAATTGTATCACCCAGAGGCAGACCCCAAGTCAAGGTTGAAGTACAAAGGTGTGCATCAGGAAGGGCAGACATCTGGAGCAGGAGGGTGAGAAGCTTGAGGATGTGGAAGTAGCCTGTGGAAGATGTGCTATTCAGCTATCACAACGAGGGACTGAGTTCAGTTCTGCAGGGATGCAGGGCAGTAGCTCTGACCACGTGTGTGTTCGTCTCACCTGAGGAGACGTGGTGTTCATGTACTGCTTCTGCTAGTGCTGCTAGGGAGGGGCTGCAAATCCCTCAGCATTTCCCACATTTCTGGGTTTCCTAAGCAGTGGAGTGGAGGTGAGAAAGAGCTCCAGACACTGAGCCAGAACACTACGAGAAGGTTGCAAGGATGTGGGGAACCCCTAGTCTGTTACCTTGCTAATCCAGCTGGGAAGCACTCTGAACTGATGTGTTCTCCCTTCCCTTCCTTTGTAGTAGAACCTCAGCAATGTTATTTTCCTGTATTGAATCAAGGCAATCATTGCTCAGATTCTACTACGACAGAAGGGATTTTGTCGTTTTCTTTTGAAAACTTAAACTGTGGCTTCCCTCTGGTTGCAGGAAGCAGGGCAGAGCTATGTGATGGCCGGGCCGTTTTCCATCCAGGTGATAGCTATTGTCGGTAAGACGCACACAGCTGGTGAATAGGCAATTGAGGGTTGGAGAAGTGCACATAGGTATTTAAGCTCCTACCTGGCCCAGGTCCTTGGCCTTCTGGGTGTCTTGCTTGGTAATGGGACGACAAAGCTGCCTGAGAATTAGCATGGCTCTTCTCTCCCTACAGCTGTTTCTGTCTTCACTAATGAGATTTTGGATTTTAGCCAAGACCTAACAGCCAATAATTAGATGTCTGTAATAAATTTGCAGGGAAATGAAAGTACTATGGTACCACCCCACTGGTGGTCAGGGTCTTTTCCTTTTTACCCCCGTCACTCTGAGCCACATACCCCCAAACCCTAGCTGATAACTGGTAGGAGTTAGAAGATTGCTGGCACATACCTGCAGTCCCAACACTCATAAAGGCAGAGGCAGGAGGATCACTGCAGGTTCAAGGCTAGCCTGGTCTACATGGCAAGTTCTAGCCCAAGCAGGGCTACATAGTAAGATGCTGTCTCAAAACAAACAAAAAGAAGAAAATTGAAGAGGATGCAGGGGAGAGAAGGTGGGATTGTCGGTGGTGCCTCAGGAAATGGCAAAAGGGGGCAGGCCCTAGCCCTGGGCAGTACCAGACAGGAGCTAAGTGAGTCCACCCAGAGGTGGACAGAGGTGGGAGCTCGTGGACTTTCTCTTTGGATTGCTCTGTCTTCCCAGAAGATGAAGGGTTATGTAAGAGGGACTGGCCATTTTAAGTGAAATGGAGAAACTTTGAAATATTTCTCTCTGACACAGTGTCTGGGCTCGGAAGACACAGCAGGACCGCTGGGTGGTATAAAGGCCTACAAGGCGAACAGGCATGAATTTGGGGAGATGGTTCCCGCTTCTCTTGGTTGTCTGCCTTCCTTTGGAGACACTGAGATGCACACAGGCCAGCAGAGAGTGAACTTAATCGTGGAGGTTTTAGAATCATGGAGGTTTTCCCAAGCAGGTGTGACCACAGGGAGTTCAGAGAGTACAAAGAAGGTTGCAGTGATGGACTGCTGCAGCTTCAGATGGGAAAGGAATGCAGTGAGGGAGAGTAGGTGGGCTTGGGACAGAGGAAAGATAAATACAAACCTGACAGGTAGTGTTTCGGACGCTTTCGAGATAGAGGACTGTGGCTGAAGAGGGCTTGAGAAGAGAGTGATGGCAGGCTCGGGGCTGCAGAAGTCTCTGAGGCTGGACTCTGGGGCCATCTGGAGACTGTGATCACATTAAGGAGTTGAGACGCTTCAGTGATGGGCTCCTGTCATCGTCCACGTAGCTGCTGAGGTCAGCAAGAGTTATAGGAGGAGTGGTGGGGAAAATGGCCATTCAAATCTTCTGAGGGTGAGTGACCCTGGACCACTTCTCCAGCCACACTGTGAGCCAGAGTCAAAACTGGGTGTGTGAGATTTGAAATAAAAGTAGATCTGAAACTCAGGTTGACATGGAGAGAAACTTGGGTCCAAGACCCCAAAACCTTTGGATTCTGTGATCAGAATTAAATGAATTATTATTTTACTTTTTTTCTTTGTGATAGTGCCTCCCTCTGTAGCCCAGGCTGGTCCATGAATAGATAATTTTGATAGCAAACATAATCATTTAGAGGTTAGCAGGTGGTGGTGACAGTGGCCATCTAGTGGAGTTTTTTAATTATTCCCGTGAAGCTATTGGGAAAATGAGCAGTCATCAATGTGGTAAGATGTCTCTGTGTTGAATGTGTCTACAAATACTCGCGCATGATAAAGAACTTTGATGGTGTGATGGTTTAAATGAAAATGTCCTCCATAGGCTCTGAGTAGTTGGATAGTTTGTCCCCAGATGGTGGCACTGTTTTGGGAAGCACATCACTGGGGGTGGGCTTAGAGAGTTCTTAAGCCTTGCCAGATCTCCAGTTGCTCTTTTGTTTCCTGTGCCTGTGTGATGATGTGAGAGCTCAGCTTCTGCTGCTCCTGGTCCAGCCACCTCCAGCCACCATGCCTCCCTGCCATGACGGATTGTAATTCCTCTGGAACCGTAATCTCAAATAAATTCTTCCTTCTATAAATTGCTTGGGTCAGTGTTTCTATCACAGCAACAGAAAAGTGACTGATACAGTAATTGGTACCGAGAGCGGGGTGTTGGCTGTGAAGAACCTGACCATGTGGGTTTTGGAGGAATGTGGAAGACTCTGGAAGTTTGGGCTAGAAAAGTGGTTGATTACTGTAAGCAGAGCTTAACAGACCATTCTAGTAAACACCTGGAAGAAAGCAGTGCTGAGAACAATGTAGTTCCAGAGGGAAATAAGGGCTTAAGCAGCACTTGGGATATTTTGGCAAAGAGTCTGGCTGGAGTCTGCCCACAGCCAAAAAGCTTGCCTGAGGCTAAGTTGAAAAGCCATGGATTAATTTCCCTGCAGAAGAAATTTCAGACAGCCTAATGTAGAAATGGTGGCATGGATATTAATGGTGAATATCATACAGATTTACAGAGAAAAAGAGCAAATGGGGCAGAAAGAAATACAGAATGTACAGGATGGATTGAAAAAGAGCACTAGGAAGGTTAACGTTGGTGCCTTGGCATGTGATGGAGAGGATCCCGTTGATAAGGAGATTAAAGTGATTAAGGAGGGGCCTAGAGATTCTGACTTAAACAGTGGAGGGAGTGCCTCCAGGGCAAGACCACACCCAGGGAAGCCTCCAACTCATGAAAGGAAAATGCCGCAGGGGCCACTGAAGACAAAGCTTCTAAAGCGGATACAGCAGGCTGGAGTCCATCCCAAACTTGGCAGTGTCCTTCACCTGGTGCTGGCTTTAGAGGCATGAAGGATGCAAGAGTGAAGGGGTCGTCAGTTCTTCCTCCGTGGTTTCAGAGAGCCTTGGAGGTCAGGCAGCGTGAAGCAGGGGTTCCCCTGCTTAGAGAAGGCCCCGATAGGCCACTGCGTGAAGCTGTGACGGTGCAGCCTGGTTGGCAATGGAGACCCCAAGAAGTTCGTGATGCCAGAGCTGTGAGGCATCTGCCAAGAAGACCGCACACAGGGAGTGGTACCAGCACAGGAGAGAGATGTGTGCTGCACGCAGCAAAAGTAGAGAGGCTGAGCCATCTAAGCCCTCTGGAAGTAAAGTCCCAGAAGTTGGACGTGGAGCTACTGGATTTGGTGTTTGCCCTGCTGGTTTTTGGTCCTGTTTTGGTCTGGTATTTCCTCACTGTGCCTCCATTCCTCACTTTTGGAGGTTCCACTTTATGTTGGGAGTATGTAATTTGTCTTTTGACTTTATAGAGGCTTACAGTTAAGATATTTACCTCAGTCTCGAATAGACTTTGGACTGTTGACTTGTGAATAGTATTGAGGCTGATAATGACTATGGGGACTTTTAAAGTTGGACTAAATGCATTTTGCATTTTATATGGTCATGTGCCTATGGGGGCTGGGGATGGAATGTGGTGGTTTGAATGAAAATGTCCCCCATAGGCTCCAAGTGTTTGGACATTTTGTCCCCAGATGATGGTGCTGTTTAGGGAGGTTTTAGAAGGTGTGGCTATCCTGGAGGAAGTACATCACTGGGGGTGGGCTTAGAGAGTTCTTAAGCCTTGCCAGGTCTCCAGTTGCTTTCTTGCTTCTCGTGCCTGTGTGATGATGTGAGAGCTCAGCTTCTGCTGCTCCTGGTCCAGCCACCTCCAGCCACCATGCCTCCCTGCCATGACAGACTGTAATTCCCCTGGAATCGTAAGTGTAAATAAGCACTTCCTTTTACAGTATTTCTTTGGTCAGTGTTTCTGTCACAGCAACAGAAAAGTGACTAATACAGATGGTTTATAAATGCAGTGGTGTTACTTTGCTGTGACTGTTTTCTAGCTGCTAGAATATGGGAGAATTAGCAATCCTGGACATTTCCTTGAGATGGTTACACCATTTATAAAAATCAGTGACTGGCTGGAAACCAACGGCTCTGTGTGAATTCATACCAAGCCACGTTTCCAGGCAGATCTTCCAAGAGATTAGAAGACATGTCGGGGCCTCAGAGAGTTCTAACCTATGGTGTTCTGGTTGTCTTGAGTGGAGAAAGACCTTAATTATTTTGTTTTATTCGCCATGCCCAAACTAGAGGACAAGAGCAAACAGAGGCTGAGAGACCATTTACTTTAAGACGAAAACCAGACCAGAGTTGGGGGCTGGAGACATGGCTCAGCAGGTAAGAGCACTGGCTGTTCTTGCAGAGGACCTGGGTTTGATTTTCAGCACCCACACGGTGGCTAACAACTGTCCATAACTACAGTTCCAGGGGATCCAACACCCTCTTCTGGCCTCCATGAGTGCTGCATAACACTGGTGCGCTCACACAAATACAGGCAATACATTCATACACATAAAATAAAAATAATAAATATTTAAAAACAGGCCAGGGAACATCTGCTTAGGTGATAGTAACTATTGAATTAAAGGAATGTTTCTCAAAATTACAGAGGCCAAGGCGATGAAGCGGAACACTGAATCCCTGCAGCTCTTCATCTCCCTCAGGCCGTGGTCACCCTGTTGTTTAGTGACTGCTTAGGCCATGGTCACCCCGTTGTTTACCGACTGCTTAGGCCGTGGTCACCCCGTTGTTTACCGACTGCTTAGGCCGTGGTCACCCCGTTGTTTACCGACTGCTTAGGCCGTGGTCACCCCATTGTTTATCCAAATCTGTTTCCGTGTAGGGTTTCCCTGCTGGATTGTGAATTCCCCAAGCAGAGCCTATAACTTTTATGTTGATATAAATAGTTTAAAATTGAAATATTTGGGGGCTGGAGAGATGGCTCAGCAGTTAAGAGCACTGACTGCTCTTTAAGAACCATCCTAAACACCAGTTCTAGGGTAATCCAAAGCCCTCTTCTGACCTCCACAACATTTAATTAAATAATTTTTTTAATTAAAAAATTAAATATTTTTATTTAATGTGCACGAGTGTATTGCCTGCATGTGTATAACTGCACCCTGTTGTGCAGTGTCCTCAGGGGCTGGAAGAGGGTGTCAAATTCCCCTGGAACTGGAGTTACGGACATTTGTTAGCCACCATGTGGGTGCTGGAATCGAACCCGGGTCCTCTGCAAGAGCAGCCAGTGCTCTTAAGCACTGAGCCATCTCTCCAGCCCCAACAGTTTAAAATTTAAATCTACCCATTATCTTTGCTTTTTCTTTATCTCATTGCTTTTGTGCTTAAAAAGTATTTCCTGTTTTGGGGACAGAAAAACTCTCTGTTTAAAAACCATCTCTTTAATCCTGTATTTTCTCATACGGTTAAGTGATTTTGTGCTTGCTGGTCCTTTTAAAACTTTTTCTCTGGGGACCAGCACAAGTCAGTGGGCAAAGGCACTGATGTTGACAGTTTGACCCCCAGGACCCCCACAGTGAGACTAGAGAAATGACTCAGCATGACTCAGCAAGTTGTCCTCCTATGTACATATGCGCGCCAGGCCAACAACATGCACACACCAAACATATAAATGCAATAAATTGGACCTATTTTAATAAATACATTATTTATTTAGTATATAAATAAATACAGTAAAATTTTAGTGAACATTTTAATAAAATGTGAAAAGAATTATGTATTTTTATAATATACCAAATTCTTACACAAAAGACATTTGGAGGGAAAATATGCCTTTTCCTTTATTACTGAAAACTTAGTTTGACTTTGTTGTGGAATTACTAAGATACCCTGCAATTTTCTAACCTAGCATTTCTGTGAGGCAGAGCTGTCAGCTAGAGCCTTATGGCGCTGTCCTGCAGACCAGCAAGGCTGGGAAGGAGACGCTGCCTTCTGCGCGCCGCCCTGCAACATCCCATGCTATGAATTCTGAACACCGTGCAACATCCCGTGCTATTCATTCTGCGCACCGTGCAACATCCCATGCTGTGAATTCTGTGCGCCGTGTGACAACCCGTGCTACGCATTCTGTGCGCCGTGTGACAACCCGTGCTACGCATTCTGCGCGCCGTGTGACATCCCTGCTGTGAATGCCGTGCTTCCCCCTGAGGGAGCTAGCAATTTGTTCAGTGGTAACATCCGTTTCTTATTGCTGTTTGATCATTCTTCAACTAGTGTCTCAGTACCACTCACTCTAATATACTGACAATGCTTCTCTTTCTCCTTGGAGGCAATTCTCTTCCTCCCTACAGATGCCTCTGGAGTGTGGACTCTGGGCCAGGGATTGGCTCTCCCTGGATCTGGGTGCCCAATAAGCACCACATGTACCCCCATCTCTTCCCTTAACAAGGTTATAGTAGTAGGGAGGTGAGGCATCATAAGATACAGTAAAATGAGCTGAGAGACGGCTCAGTGGTTAAGAGCACTGGCTGCTCTTGCAGAGGACCAGGGTTCAGTTCCCAGCATGGTGGCTAACAACCATCCGTAACTCCAGTTCCAGGGGAATCTGACACCCTCACCTCCAAAGGCACTGCATGACACATATGTACCTACCTACATGCAGGCAATACATTCATACACATAAAATAAAAATAATAAAGTATCTTTTTAAAGATCCAGTAAAATATATAATAGGTAGAGATGCCAGAGGGTGAATGAGCAGGAAGGGAAGATCAGGTGTAAGGGTCGCACAGCTGGGTGTGCTGCAAACCAGCAAGTGCTGTTCTGAACAGGTGTCATTTAAATGTTATAAAATGATGGTGAGTTATTCTAAGAAACGCCTGAGTTCTTCCCCCGGGGACCTTGTCTTTAGTATGTGGGACTTGGGACATTTGAGACCCAAGTCATAAAAGGAACCTTGGAGCTGAGCCTGATACACCACAAAGCACCAGCAGTCCTCAGGACTGTCCTGAGAATGTGCTGACTCAGTTCAGATCTGAAGTCTGAGGACAAGGACATTAGGGCTAACTCAGTGGACCACGCTCAAACCACATGCTAGATCAACCCTTCCCTTTTAACTTGCTTTTTCAGGTACCATCACATCAATGAGAACAATAACATGTATGTATGAACTTATACCATTGAGACCTTCCCTCCCGAGGCTGGAGAGATGGCTCAGTGGTTCAGCGCATTTGCTGCTCTTCCAAAGACCCTGAGTTCAGTTCCCAGTACGCATATCGATTGGCTCACAGCTGCCTAACTTCTGTTCTGTTCTGTTCTGTTCTGCCTTCTTCTGAGATCTTCAGACACCTGCATACATGAGGCATACGCACAGACACAGACACACACACGTGTGCCATGAATAAAATAAAAATAAAAAATCTTTAAGAGACCTTCTCTCCGGGTTAACATTACATGGCTATTTCAGCTGTTTGTTTATTGGACTTCTTAGCTGTGTAATTATCTACTTACTGTTTTCTATCTGCCAACCAGGGCATCATGAGACACTTATTAAGTGTTTTACTGAAGTCAGAATTCATTAAGTCTCTCCTGGTCCCCCTTGCCACCTACTAATTAGATCTTCTAAAATTTAAACTAGGCTAATTTAATGTGCCATGTTAACAATCTCAGGCTGGCTTCTCCTGACCATAGATCCTTTCTCCTAGTATTGGAAAACATCTGCATAATAATTTTAAATTTTGCTGAGCTTTACTTTTAGCCAGCAAACATTTAGGGTCATTGTAAATACCACCTGGCTTAGTCCCATTTTTCAGATGAGAAAATGGAAAGAGAGGGACGTTCCATTCCTTGCCCAACACCACAGAGTGTAAAAACAGCAGAGCTTGTGGAACCTACGAGGCCCTGTGGAGTGGCTGTGAATCAAACACACTGACTGCCCAGCACTGGTGGGGGGCTGGAGGCCTGCCCTCTGGGACCTGACCAAAGGTCGGGGAAAGAACCCTGAGGCCTCACTGTTCTATGCCACAAAGCATTCTGCATCCTTGAGCAGCACTGAGTTCCAGGAGCTTCTGCAGTGGATGGCTTAGAGGGAGTGAGGGAAACTCTACGCCTGTGGGAAGGAGTCCTGGAGAGACCTTCGCTGGGCTCTAGGCGTGACCTTCGGACACTTGAAGGCCACAACTGGCACTGTGTGTCTGTGGTACTGGCCGTTGTCCCTGGTGCAGGCTGGTGGCCTGAACTCCTCTAGCGGAGGGCATCCTATGCCACAGGGGCAGCAGAGAGCAGAAGTCGGGAATCCTGCTGTATTGGCCCCAGGCAGTTGCACTGCTGGGTGTCCCTGGGCTGTGTCTGGCCACACCCTGCTGACCGGGCGCTGTGGTTCCTGCCCTTTGGCTCCTTGTGAAACACCTGAGCCTGCACTACTGGTCAGAGGACAAGGAGCACAAGCTGCTTCAGGCCCCCAGCACTCCTGCTGTGGCCAGGGCCAGAGACCCTAAAACAACAGAGCTGACATCAGCAGTGCCTGGCTAAAGTCCTGTCACCCAATAGGGGCAGCGCGCCCACTGGAGGTAGACACCAGGGCGCACCCACACTCTGCTGTCTGCACCACATCCACCTGAGCCCCTAGCGGCGTCCCCAGGCAGGAGTGCTGCAGGGAAAGTGGGATTCTGATTCAGCCATAGTATGTACTGTGCTTACACCTGATCATCACAGCCAGAGAACCAGCAAGGAACCACACCGTGGGGCCTGGAGAACCAGCAGAGACCACACCACAGTGCCCAGCAGGAATTAAAAATAACATTGCAGCCGAGTGGTCGCACACGCCTTTAATCCCAGCACTCGAGAGACAGGCAGGTGGATCTCTGTGAGTTCAAGGCCAGCCTGGTCTACAGAGTGAGTTTCAGGCAGCTGGAGCTATAGGGAGACCCTGTCTCAAAAAGACCAAAAATAAAATAAATAAAAAAAATAAATAAAATAAAATAAAATAAATAAAATAAAATAGCATTGCATCACATTGCAAACCAGTATCCCAAGGCATACCTTTAGGAGAAAGGAGCTTCCTTCCAAGAGCATCCTGTAAAAAGTGCAGACAGTTCTGATCCACCAAATATATGATTCAAGCCCGACCCGATTCACCAAATACATGATTTGAACCCAGGTCCTCTGCAAGAACAGCCAATGCTTTCAACTGCGGAGCCATCTCACCTGCCTTTTGGATCACGTCTGTGTTGGAACGTGTGCATTACTGGAACAAGGAAGGCCAGGAAAGACTGAGGACATCGGAAACCTACCCAGTGATGGGGAACAGAAGACCTTTTTCTACTTTGGCAAACATTGCACAGTAAGAGAATACTGCACCTGTTCTCTCTTCCCACCCCTGGTGGGTTCTGGGGGTCAAACTCAGGTCCCCAGGTTTGTGCGTTGGATGCCTTTACCCTCAGAGCCATATCACTGCCCCCCATGTCTATATTGTTAAAAGTCTTTTTTGAGCCCTTGTTTGTCAAGTACAGCCATGTAGAAAGAGGAAGTCCCCTTAAACCCTTAGAATCTCATTGTAGTAGGAAAGAACAGTAACAATGATTAATTGCTCCCCAGGAAGACACGGTAGGATGTGGAAAGCAGCCATCACTTTCTGAAAGTTTACAGAAGTAATATTTGGGCCGAGTTTTATGGTTCAGGCATTGACTTGGTTTTTGCTTCACATTTTTGAATGTTTTCTACACCAATTTCTTATATGCAGAAATCGTTAAGAAGCTATTTCCCTATCAATAATTCATATCCTAATTTTTTCTGTCATTGAGAAATTTTGGTTCATTCTTAGGTCATAAATTGTCTGACCTAATTTCCTCTAAACTTGCAGACATTCTGCTAAGATTCTCAAGGCTTTTTAGGGTCACACCGGAGAACAAAAGCAGCTCATCTGGGTTAGTACAATGCCCCACCCCCAAGTTCAGAATTCCCCAGATAGAGCACAGCCATCCACACAAGAAACATGGGACCCGTGAAAGCAGATGATGGGCATACCATCTAGTAAAAAAAAAAAAAATCACCAAAACAATACCAGCATTAAACTATACTACAGATCAAATGGGCCGAACAGAAATTTATAGACCATTGTATCCAACAGCTGCAGAATACGCATTCTTTCCCTTTAATCAGAGGAATGTACATTTCTAGATTAGGCCACAAAGCAAGCCTTAACAAATTAAAGGTTAGTGAAATCACATCTTATATCTTTTCTGACAACAGTGTATTAAAACCAGACATCAACAAGAGAAACTAGAAATTATATAAAAAATGGAGAGTGAATGATGTACTTTTGAAAAACAAGGTCAGAAAGGAAATTAAAAATTTTAATGAAAATGGAAAAGTAACAGCAAACTTATGGGATGCAGCAAGCGCAGCATTACCGGGAAATTTACAGTAATGAGTGCGGTGTAAAAAAAACAAACAACCTAAAGGTGCATCTCAAGAATGCAGAGAAGCAGGAAAACCCCAAACAAAACTTACTAGAGGGGAGTAAGATCAGAACAGATACAAACAAGGCGAAGGCCAAGAAAAGGTAACAAAGGATCAATGAAACAAAAAGCTGGTTCTTCAAAAGGTTGAAACTGACAGAGACCCTTCACTAAATTAGCCAAGAAAAAAGAAAGGCATAAATAACTAAAGGAAACGTTAAATCTGGTATTGAAGAAATAAAAAATCTCTAAGAGTCATGTGGAAAAAATATGTGCTAGTGAACCAGAAAATCTAGAGGAAAAGGACGTGGAAATGACTTTTATAAATGGATATAGTCTGGACCACTGACCTTTAATTAATTACAGCAATTACCATGTGTTCGTGGGTCTTGTGATCTGGGCACCTGGTCTGGTTTCTTGCAACTTCAATTTGGTATTCACCCAAAAAGATAATGAATGAGTGAATCAATGAATGAGTGAGTGTGTGTGCTTGAGAATTGACATAACAAAACACTGAAAGGGGCGGCCATCTCCTTTTCACACAGGGGAGGTTAGGAAGGATGGGTGAATGAGATACTCTAGAGCTAGACATGAAAAGTCCAGATGGACTGTTAAGATTAAGGTGGAGCCAAGCTTGTACTTCCCCCATTAAAGCTGGAGAAACCATTTTAAATAAAATCATGGATAGGGCAGGACTTGGGACAGAGTTCCAGGGACAGAGTTCCAGCAGACAGTTCCATCAGCACAGTTCCAGGAGACGGACAGTTCAAAGAGATCCCTAGGGAAACAGACTGAAACATAAAAATCATATGAGCATCTTAATGGATACAGAGAAAGCATCTGATGAAATTCATCATCCCTTTATGATAAAAGCCCTCCAATGATAAAGACTATAAAGTTAAGAGTCCACAGTCCAATGATAAAGACAGTAAAGTGTTCACAGCTCAATGATAAAGGCTATAACATGACATGTCCACAGTCCTCATATGAGGAGTGGGGACTGAGAGCATTTCCTCTAAGATCGAGAAATAAACACAGAACTCCATCTGTTTTCACTCCTGCTCAGTATAGTGCTAGATGTTTGCCAGAGCAGTTAATCAAGACGAAGAAATTGGAGGCACGTGAGTAGAAAACAAGGTTAAATTATCCCTTTATGCAGATGATGATTCTATCCATAGGAAACTCAAAACCATCAGAACTAAAAAGTACTTCAGTGAAGTAGCAGGATACAAAAACCAACATCCAAAAATCAGCAGCTTGTTTATACATCAATAGTGAATTTCCTGGTAAGGCGATCATGACTAATTACATTCATAATAGATGCACACACATACAGTAAGTGGGAATAAGCCTAGACAACGAATGGTCCCTAAAATGAAAATTATAAGGCATGGAAGCTGAAGAAGACGCCAAAGGTGGAAAGACCCTGTGTTCAGGGGTCTAAGAATTTCTATGGCTAAATGACCATACTACCTATACCAATCTATAGATTCAATGTGACCGTCATCAAAGGGCCAAGGATATTCTCTATAGAACTAGAAAACAGAATCTTAAAATTCATGTTCAAAATACACAATAGCCAATACGATCACGTATAAAAACAGCAAAAACCTGGAGACACTGTAATAGCCGATTTTGAGATACTCTTAAAAGCCATGGTCAACAAAACAACATAGTATTGACATAAAAACAGACACACAGAACAGGGAGACCAAAGTAGACCTTGGCATGGACACCAAGAACGTTTTGAGAACGGTGCCAAAGTGCACACAGGAGAAAGTACAGCCTCCAGCACACAGTGCTGGGACAACTGGGTATCCACCTGCAGAAGTCTGAAACTAGACCTTATCTCTGGCCCTTTGGAAAAAACCCACTCAAAACAGATGAAAGATGTTAATGTAAGACTCAAAGTTCAAAACCACTAGGCAACCACAGAGCAAACATCTCAACATACTGATATAGTCAATTGCTTTTCTG